GGTAGCCAAGCATTTCTCGACGAAACACCGAACCTCGAGATCCTTTACCTTATACAAAGCATCTGGTTTCTTCCCCTAGAAGGAACAAGAAGAAATGTAAGCAATTGGTGAAACAAAGAACAAAATCTTGAAGAAAAATGATGAACAATGAAGGCTTACAGAGATAACTTTCTTGTAAATCTGAGCAGGGTGGCTGCATTCACTGTATGGATATTCAAAAGTAACCATCTCCAGAATGCACATTCCAAAAGAATAGATATCAACCAATTCATTATACTCCTCTTCATAAATCTCTGGAGCCATGAACTCAGGCGTTCCTGAAATGAACAAAACAACCAAAAAACAAAGCCAATTAAGTGAAGATTTCGGGGTTTCCTCGAGGTTGTTGAAACGTGTATGCTAGGGAGAGATTTCCACACCCTTATAAGGGATGTTTTCGTTCTCCTCTCCAACCGATATGAGATCGGCACACAGCCTGGTGCCTGTCTCTAATACCATTTAAAACGTGTCTACTACGAGAGTATTCCACACCCTTATAAAAAATGTTTTGTTCCCCTCTACAACGAACGTGGGATCTCACAATTTCAACTTACCAACACAACGAGCAACATAGGATTTACGAAGAACAGCAGCTAGGCCAAGATCACCAATTTTGACTTCCCCTTGATTCCCATTAACAAAAATATTATCACATTTAAGATCTCTGTGGATTACAGGAGGCTCATGGCTATGAAGATAAAGAAGCCCTCTTAAAATCTGTCTGCACCAATGCTTCACAGCTCTGATGTTTACTCTCTTGTGCTTCAGCCTGTATCTGCAAAGACAAATTCGGTCGGAAAACATGTTTTCGACAAAACCCATTTGAGGAAAACCACCATGAAAACGAAACTCACTGTCTAAGAGTTCCAGAAGTGAACATCTCTGTCACAAAGTTAATGTTTCTATTCGCAGTGTCAACCCAAGAAGAACAAAATTTCATTATGTTTTTGTGTTTAAGAGTCTTCAACAAATGGATTTCTCTGTATAGCCGTTCGAGATCTTCGGGAGTTTGAAGAAAATCACAAAGCTTCACTTGATTCCACGCCACTTCAATGCCATCGTATTCATCAAAGGCTCTGTAACTGTCGGAGAAAAACCCCATTAGAGACAGACATCGAAAGAACAGAAACATGGGAGAAAAACAGAGGATGTTCTTATTCTTACACTGTCTTCGAAGCTCCTTTGCCAAGAACTTCATCGTACTGAACAAAAAACAAAAAGGGGTTTTAGTAAAAATCAAAACACGAGATTTGGGGATGAAACAAAAACATACTCTTCCATATCTTCCTGTGGGATCAACTTCGACATAATCAGAGGTTGTTTCACCGTTCATTCCTGAACAATGTTTCTGGGTGTATGATGTTGTTCCTCTGTTCTTCGTGAAAACAGAGGATTTGTGGAATCTGAGAAGAAGAAGTTTTGAAATGGGGATTTTTGTATTTGATTATTGGTTGGATGAGAAGAAGAGAGAGAGAGGAAAAAGGGGTTAATTGCCAACTACTCAGAGACAACGAAGCAGAGGATTTCAGAAACAAGGCAACGCCCACTGAATAGAGCCTGACAAAAAGCTTTTCTTTTTCACTCTGCTCTCTCTCTGTTTCATCACGAGCTGTAAAACCAAACACAAAATAATTATTAATAATTAATTAATTAATAATTTCTAGGGACTATAAAGTTAATAAAATTATGTGGTCTATGAACAAGTGGGTGAAAGTTGAAAAAATATAGATGCTTAAAAATAATTTTAATACTTTTATTAATGGTTAGACGAACACGACTCTTCACAAATATTGTCCATTTTGAGCATAAGTTCTCATGGTTTTACTTTAGACTCCTCCAAAAGGCCTCGTACCAATAGAGAGAGTATCCTTGGTTTATAAATCCATGATCATTCCCTAAATCAGCGGATGTGGGACTTTCATCATCCAACATTAATACCTTCTAATTTTTTTTTTAAAAAAAGAAATACTCCCACTCTCCTAAATACTATGAACTTTTGGAACTAATATTAAAAAATCTGACTGAACAAATATAAATACATAATTTCTGTCCAAAATCTTTTTTTAATTTTTTTATAAATAGGTGTTAATAAGGAGATTTATTTTTGGAAATTAACTTTTTATTTTGGGTTAATTGTTTATTAATATTTAGGATGACTTTAAACTATGGTCTATGACCTAGGTTAATAAAAGATATGAAAATTAAATACTTAGGTCTATATAAAGTAATTGAGGTGATGTAGAAAAAGAAATAATTTATAGTAATAAAACGCTTATAATTCATTAATGAATGATTTCTTTTGGTAGGAAAAAAATATAACCTTTTGAGTTTACCTTACCCCTTATTTTATTTTTATTATTTATTTTTATAAATAAAATTTTAAATAAATGATCCAAACAATTCATACTAACTGAACCAAAAATAAATAAATAACAATTAATGTTCTCCTTGGATGGAAGAGATGTCTTCCTTCCCTCCAAAGATATATATATATATATATATATAGTAATAATAAATAAATAAATAACAATTTTGACATACTCATTAGGGCTAAGAATTTTAATATGTTTTCTAACCCAATTTTTAAAAAATTAGTATTATTTATAAGCATTTAGAGATTTGAATTGAGTTTCTATCGAGTTCTTAAGATTTCTAATTAATAAAAGATATTCTATTCTCGTGTCTTATCAACTCAAAAGTAAATCTTATCGTAGAGACCGACCTTCGAATATTACATGTGGAGTAATCTTAAAACGGTCGAGATAAGAAGGAATCAGTAGTAGGATTTCATGAGGTTAATTCATCTAACAAAATGACGATGATACAATAGTTAACCCGTTATTACTATGCACTTTTTAAACGAATTCAAACTATATATATATATATTAGAAATACAATTTAAATCCAAAAAATAATACATGGTACGCAAATATAAACTACAAATCAAACGTGTCATGTTTATACCGTTACGTGTGTGGAACATAAACACAAATAAAAATCAATATTAATTAGAAAAAAATAATATTACACGAGCGATGTTCATTCTGTTGTATTCGAATCCTTATCATATTATTTCTTTTTTCGATAATGCAATTTTTTCAAAATCTAAATCTTTATGTCAACGTCTAATTTGATTAGGTACAAATTGGAATGAGTTAAATTTGATATCGGCCTCTAAATTAATTTAAGCCACAAAAGAGTTAGCCTAACTTATAAAATTATATCACCGATAACTATTTCTATTTCAATGTCCATAAAGCATAAAGTGTTCAATTTAGTCGGAAAAACGTGTCTTAGATCAATTGTATATTAAATTTTAATTCAGTTTTAATTAATTCTCTTTATTATTATCCATTAAAAATGAATTTCTTTATTTTTTAAAAACTTATAATTTAATTATATGGCATAAAGTATGTGAAGCATATTAGTCATACATAGTGCCATACATGATATAATATTATTATTGTATTTTAATAAGGAAAAATAAAATATAATTTTTTAGCAATACTATATAGTATTTTAACTTATGGCACATCGTATGCACGTGGTTGGATAAGTACTTCAAATTAATGTCACAAGCTAAGCGCGTGAACTCCACCCACAAATCATAATAAAATTTAAGATTTTGATGCGAGTATACACATGTCTTCGATCGGGAAGGTTTCTGGATCAATCCAAAATTTCAAGTTGATGTTCTGCAAGGCTAGCTAATCGTACGCAGCAGACTTGAAGACCCCTGATTCTGGAAAGTACATGAATCCGAATGCTATGTTGAATGTGTCACTGACACTACACTACGTAGGTACCTGTGCAGGTGAGGCGTCGGTCGGTCCTAGAAACGGTTGCAACAGCGCGAGGAGTTAACGACCAGACATGGGGGTGTTAGAAATAAACCATAGTCCGACGAAACAGCAATTTACTAGCGACTCGGGACATCGAGCGAAGAGCTCCAATGCGCGTATTAGAAGCTACGCGGATGCTGTAGTTGCATAAGCCGTATCAAGATCATGACAAGGCATTCTGGAAACTCAATGGCCAGCCACAATTGGTGTAATGTCTGGGTGCGTATGGCAGTACAAGAAAGCCCCTACTCCTAACAAGTTGGCTGACAAGAAAAAAAGGGTTTCGTTGTCTTTTTCCCACTTTCACCTTCAATTGCTAGTAGAGGCTAGAGCTGCATATGATCCATCAGTGGCAGAGCCAGATGCAGTAGTTCCTATGGTTTACCCTGAACAAGTAATTTCAGCAACAGTACACCCAGCATTTAGAGAGTGATACCACTCGTCAAAGGGGAAAAGCCCCTCGTGAGTGCGGCACGCACCTTTTTTTTTTGTTTGTTTCGGAGCTGTTTTGGCAGGGCGTACTAAACCCACTTCGTACCACACCATCGGGTGGCTCGCATGAATGCCGAGTCTTTTTAGTAAAGCGCGAGACCCTCAATCCGAAAGGTATGCCACGGCTGGTGTTCACAACTGACCCAACCATATAATTTTGGGTTAATTGAATCGTTCCGTTATTCATTTTCTTTAAAAATTATATATATATATATATATATATATATATATATATATATATATATTAATAATTAAAATCTTATAAAATTTAAATATTAAATATTTATAAATATATGTGAAAATTTTATTTTTGGGTGGACTATAAAATACAAATCGTATATATTAGTTAAATAAAACAATTACCATTTTCAAAAATAAAAAACCAAAAATAACATTTTCCACGTCACAATTTTGAATCTAGATTACAATATTAATATGTGATTGAAAGTTTTTTTTTTTTTTTTTTTTGAAGAATTGATTGAACTTTCTTGTAATACATGTATAGTTTAATATTTTTCAAATATTTGATTGGTCTCCAAGCATTAAAAAAATATTAAATAAATCTTAAAATTTCAAATTTAGTTATTAAAATAAATATTTAATAAAATTTGAAACTTTTAATTTTTTAAATAGAGAATTTATTATAATTCCACGTAAGCCGTACATTAAGGGTACAACCGCGGTAAATAACAAGGCTTCTTATTAGGGGGCCTTCATTTTGAGAATTGGGTTTCTTTCAAAGAAATTTGTAGGCCGGAGTTCGAATCCTCCAGAGAGCGTGGGCATTATTGGAAATTCATCTTGACTCGGATGGTGGTGGAACCCTATGGTGTGCCATAACACTATGTCCTTGTTCCAGATGTCCCTATTCCTGTCATCCAATAAAATATTGTCCACAATTTATATCGACCCATAAAAAATCAGACCACCCAAAGGCAGTGTTCTTGGATTCGGTTGGGTTCAAACACGCTATTTAAGAGGGTGTTCGGGGGTTCGATTGAGTTCAGTTGGATTAAGAATTAGATTCAGTTTTTTTTTAACTACGTACCTTTGTGTTATAATGTTAAGGGTTTCATCACCACGGCCACGATCGACGTACATACCGCCGGCCCATTTCTCCGATCGATTATACGGCGTAATCCATACATTATGGTCACATAATGCTCCTCGCCGCTGCGGATAATCATCCTCCAAAAGGAGTGATCGGGGCATTGGTCCTGGAATTAAACGGTACCCGACTTGGTTCCCTATTGTAGTTTCTTTGTTTGGGTTGACGATGTAGAGCTCTACTGGCTCGGTCGGAAGGTTTCTAGCATCCAGCTCCTTCTTCGCCTCCTCTCTCACCACCGACCAATAACTCTTCCTCGGCGTGGAGCCATCGGTTTTAAAGCTCGTCAATTTGCCTTTCACAAAAGAATTCTCCTGCCCATCGATGTCGAGATCAAGATAATACGTTAGGAAATGGTCATGGTTTATGCCTATCGTGTTTTGAGCTACTAATAAGCCGTAGATTTCCTCCTTTATCTCGCTTGTGTGCTTGTGTGGCGTCGTTTTTCCTTCCATGATTCCTGTTAAACTCACCTGTTCACGAAGAAGACTTGAGTTTTTAAATCATGGGTTTATAACCAACAAATACTATCTCCATTGGTACAAGAATACTATCGCCTATCGTGTTTCGAGAGTTTATGTTCTGTAGGGTTGTGGTTTCTAACATGATATCAAAGTCATTAACTTAATCATATTAATGGAATCCTTTAGTTGTTTGAATAAATTGTGTACTTTGTTCGAGGGCAGGCTTTAGAGAAGGAGTTGAGTCTCGATTAAGGGGAGGCTATTCGAGAGCTCCATAGGTCTCAGAGGAGGTTCTATGGTGTACTTTGTTCGGTGGATAATGTCATACCATTGTAGAGATTCGTGATTCCTAACAATTTTGTCACGAAAATAATTGTAAAGATGTATTACCGCAAATTTGATCGAGCCACATTTCTTGAACTCCCAATCCAAGATGTAATCATAGTTTCCGATCACCGTGATCGTCCTTATCACCAAGCTCACGTCCCGCCGAACTTCTCTTATCTGCAATTTTAAAAAATATAATCACAAAAAATTCAATTTTAAAAAATTAAAAAATTAAAAAATTAAAAAAATTAAAAAAGTTACCAATTCTCCTGGAATTGCGCTCTCAGTGTGGCGCCAAGCAATGTTACCGGCGTACTTCTCAAACATACAGTAAGCATTGGTCAACTTGACAGGGTTTCCATCTTGGCCGCCGTGGAAGGCGTCAAAGAAGACGGCGTTGGACGGACAATCGTGGTGGGGTTCAAGCTCCACCGCCGCTGACCCCATCCCAAACTCTCCGGCGTCCATAAACGTCCGGTAATACCACTCCTCCGTTGGATCTTGGTACGGCACAAAAAGCTCGGAGAGGCTGCCTTGGTAAAGAACTTGTCGTTTTTTACGTTGGTCAACATCGTATATGGACGCTGTTGATATTATGATCCCGACTCGCATGTCAAAGCTCAAATGAAAATCCCAATTCGCCCAGCTGCAAAACAAAGCATCAGTTATAGTGAGATCTCACGTTGGTTGATGAGAAAAACGAAACATCCTTTATAAGGTAGGAACCTATCTCAAATATACGCGTTTTAAAACATTGAGAGGAAGCTCAAAAGGGAAAGCTTAAAGAAGACAATATCTATTAGTAGTGGGCTTGGAAGGTTACAAATGGTATCAGAGCCATACAACTGTCAATGTACCAGCAAGAAGGTTGAAACCCAAAGGGGTGGACATGAGACAGTGTGTCAGGAAGGACACTGAACTCCAAAAGGGGTAAATTGGAGGTCCAGGAGGGATCCCACATAAGGACAGTGGACCCCAAAATGGGTAGATTGGAGGGTTTCACATCGATTGGAGAAGGGATCCCACCTAAGGACACTAGAACCCAAAAGGGGTAGATTGGAGGGTCCCACGTCGATTGGAGAAGGGATCTCACATTGGTTGGAGAGGAGAACGAAACACGGTTTACGAGGAGTAGGTGCAGTTGCTAAATCTGCTCAATTTCCTCTTCATGTATGGTTACCTGATGCTATGGAGGGTCCTACCCCGATTTCGACTCTTATACATGTTGCTACGATGGTAGCTGCAGGAAGTTTTCTTGTCACTCAGCTTCTTCTTTTATATTAATACCTTATCTCATGAATCTAATAGCTTTTACACGGATAATAACAGTACTATTTGAAGCTACTTTAGCTCTGGCTCAAAAAGAGATTAAGAGAAATTTAGTCTATTCTCTTTTTAATAGATGCGTTTTAAAAGCAATTATGGGAAAACAAACCTGACAGTGTGACCTTTAACGACAAAGCTCGGACCAAGCGGTTGGACGACATTAATCGGCTTAGTCTCGGCCGCAAACGGTGGCTGCATACTAGAAGCACGGTAGTCAGTCCCCTCACTCTTGGGCAAAACACAACGTTGAACGTCTTGAAAGTCCGTGACCACCATTTGATCAAGATCCACCACGGTTTCAACGCCCTCAACGGGCCTTACCCAAACATTGACCGTAGACTCTTTATAAAAAAACAGAACCTTGACCACTCGTTGCGTCTCATTGTGAGCCTGCCCAAACCACCCAATAGTAAAAACGGAGCCCACAACATTCGAAACATTCAGCCCTCTCTTCTCCATGGAGGATACAACTGATGGGTATTTGAGAGCCAAATCAATAGCTTCCGTTTGTTCCTCAAAGGTTAATGTTGGGAAACCGGACCCTCGGTACACACTCTGTGACACAATCATGCCATGACCATCTGCTATACTCACTAAGAACTCATGAGTCTGCTTGTTAGCGCGTGCCACAACAAAGGCTTTTCGTGGCAATGGCGAGGATCGAGGATTTGCAAGCCACAAGAGGACGTCATGTTTGTTAGGCTCGTGAATGCCAACGTAGTGAAAAGTGAGCCTCGAGGTCAGGTTGAAATTGGATTTGATTGTGGAGGTGACGATTTGAATCTCGAGCGGAGATAGCGGGTCGAAGGGATGAGAGAAGCTTGGAAGTATGAAATTAAAGAGAAAGAGGAAGAGAATTGAGAGAGCCATATGGTAATGGTTTTTTATTTTATTTTCTTTTTGCATTATTGGACGTGGATTGAAAATTTGGTATTTAAAGCGATTTCCAAGGGTAATATGGTAATTACGTCCAGACACTACAAGAAAAAATACAAAAGAGTTTATTATCTTTTTATGGCCCCAAGCAAATGGCTCACTGACAACGTTGTGGGACCTAAAAAAAATCTATTTAATTATTTTAAATATGAATATTAATAAACTTAATAATAATAATAATATTGCAAACTTTTAATTGTCTTAACTAAATACTATAAATTTTTTAAAATATATTTTTATTATTTTTATTATTTTTAATGTGATTGAATGCATTGATGCGTGTATCCCATTATTTTTCTTTTTTCTTTTTTAATAAAAAAAAGCATTTTAATTTAGAAGATATTTTTTTAACCATTTTTTAAAAAATATATATATATATCTTAACACGTTTTCTTTGTATTTTTATTTTTAAAATATAAAGACAAAAATGGACCCATTATGTCAATGATACATAAAATTGAAATGTTAATACATCAACATTTGTATTTATTGATACCGACATTTTATCACTATTTACCTCGAATCACTCAAATAATACATGTCAATCACAATTTCACTATAATCCACCCAAAAAAAAAAAAATTTTTAAAAAAAATATATATATATACAGACATTTTAGAAATTTTATTTAATGATTTTACTATATAATTAATTAATTAAAACTCTTTAACATTTCTTACGTTAAATAAATTAATCAATTAATAAGGCTTATTTTTCAATTAATAAAATAAAATAATTAATTAATTGAAATAAGATTCGTTGGAGTTTGGAACAGACAAATGTGGTGAAACATGAATGTCGGTCAGAGATGTTTGTTTTATTTAGAGATATTTGTTTTTTTTTATATTTATATTAATTAAAATTTTGAATTTCCTGAGTGTCACGGTATGTTATTTTTAAGTTAGAAAATAAGTAGCTCTAATAATTATGTCAGTTTTTATTTATAAAATTTTTATGAGTGAACCAATTTAAATGTTTGGAAGAAAAAATTATGTTATCTCAATAAATTTGAGATAATTTTGAATTTAATTACCTCTGTTCATAAAAATGATAAGAATTTTTACAGTGACATCATCATCTCTCCTTTCTCGACTTTTGCTACTACGCTATGATGACTGTACGACATCATGATTTTGATATGTTCATGACAATTTTAAGAGAAATTCAAGCCTTTTTTTGTACCCAGGTTTGTAGTTTCGTTGGACTTTAGACGAGGTTTTCCTTTGCCATGCAGAAACTAAGTTTGTTCGGCTATACATGCAACTCGTGCGTGCATGTTTGTTTGTTGTGAGTCTAACTGACTTGTCTCTGCTTTAAGCCAAGTCATTTGGTTCGACCTTGCCTTTACTCTAGGTTAAGGTTCTTGAATGTAATGTTACATCTCATTTGGTCATCGTGATTCCCAACAACATGGTCATGCATCGTGATGTCATCCCAAGTCCTTGAAGATCATTGACCCTTGTGGCTTCATTAGGTACGCTTATTGAGAATCAACCCATGATTTGTCTTTATTGTCAAGGTACGTTGAATATCCATCCATATGGGTATAATCAAAGCATGAACGATCTCATGTCATGTCGAGTCATTTAACCCCATATACCAAACTCTTGACACATGAGTTTGGGCGCAATATTTACACGATGACATTCTCCTCAAAAATATATATTTTCAAATGAATACTCTCGCCTTGCAACACTCACCCACACCATGACACACGTATGTGTCATGTGGTAGATCACTTAGGCCAAAAATGCCCAAGGGGCAGTGGAGAGTTGACATCCTGCCTCACTTTATAGTACTAAATGGTTTGGAGTAGAATTGATTTTGGCAAGCTGGAGTGTCTTTAGGTGTTTGATTGACACCAAATTTGGCGATATTTCGTCTTTCATATCAACGGACTTAACTCCAGAGCCTTATGTCAAAACTCATGTCATAACACTTACTTTTGCAGTTATGGTTTGGGCCTTACCCGACCCTTTTCAAGCTTGTCTTTGACACTCTTGCCACCATCATTCCCACCAATCTTGTTTATTCTTCAGTTTTGGCTTTAATGCACATTCTTCTGTCAAAAGATGCATCGTTCTCCAGTCGTATCATGACTCATGACACTTATCTATCTCAACTCTCACTTTGTTGGATGGGTGCCACTTGAGGGTCGCCACCTTCCTATCTTTATAGTATGGTTGTGACACTTAGAAACCGCTTTACCTTGTCAACCCGTGGAACAACTCGACCCGACCCAACCTAATAATATATTATTGGGTTGTCCACTTATCTCATAACCTAACCTAACTAACCCAACTCATGCATGCACATCTCAATCAATTAAACTATTATATCAACTCTCGCGTTTTATATGTTATTGAACTCGAAAACGGATAAATGTTATTGAACTCGAAACAAACGGATAAAGAATGGAGCAGCTTAAATGTCTAAAATACCCTTATCCATTACTGAATTAATTAATTAGATTATATTTCCACTAGGACATGACTCTTGGGCTTTAAAGTGAATATCTATCCAATTTTTTTGGGCTTTAAAGTGAATATCTACACAATTTTTTTGGGCTTTTTATCCAATGTCTGCCCTCCAATAGACGAATATATATATTATTAATAATTAAAATCTCATAAAATTTATATATCAAACATGTGGATAAAAAATAAAAAAAAAAACTTAACATAATTCAATTTTTATGATTTGAATTAGATAGCCGGAATTTTTTTTTATAGGAAAATTCGAAATTGAAGGCATATAATTTAAATAATGGGGAATAAGAATAAATGGGTTGATTTGGCTAACCTACCTACCAACTACTAATGGCTCTCACTCATTTTTAAATATTTTATTAAATTCTTAAATTTTATATCTAAGTATTAAAAAAAAAACCTTTTTATATTTTAATTAAAACTAATATTAAAATTTTTAAATATTCGTACAAAATTTATTATTATTTTTAGTTATAAATATTAATATAAACAATTATATAAAATAAAATGTTATTATGAAGAGAGGTTTTAACTTTTCTCGTTAATTCAATATTATTTATTTATATAAATTTTTAATTATTCAATAAGTGAAATTATGCTCTTGTAAAATTTTTAATAATATTATATATCTAAATATAATATCTTTTATATTTCAAAATATATAATTACTTTTGAACATTGGACTGTTCGTAACTACAATATCATAATCAAATCATGTCGAACATTGGTTTTTCCAAGCCCTCCTCTCTTTCCAAAGCAAGATCGAGTAGTTATTGATAAGTAAAGTAATAGCTGATGATTGAGATGTATTTTTTATGCAAACATATAATACGGTTAGTTTGATGTTTTGTCTAAATAATTGATTTTGTTTTGAATCGTTTAACTTTTATGTTTGTATGGTACATTCTATATGAATATTATAGAGTAATATATATTTTATGATTTTTAATTTTGCATTTAATAAATTATCGACTTATTTAAAGATGTCACGTTGCAGGGTAGGAAGAGAAAATCTCAACTCCTGTATCAATCTTCATTTTGCGAAAAAAATTCATTTATGTAAAGATCGAGATAGGAATTTGTGCAGGGAATTTTATGGAGATTTCAATTCTGAGTTTAAATCGAGATTTCTTACCCTCTACGGATTAAAGGGACATCTCTAGATCTATTCGATATATTTTGAAAATTGACGAATCTACTAGATAGACTCAAACAATATTTCTAATTATTAGTTTATTTATTTTTGTTCTTGAAATTTAGTTAAAATTTTTAATATTTTAGAAAACCCCTAAAAAATTAATAATGAAATTAACAACGTTTTGAGGTTCTATTAGACATGAATTTGACGTTATATTTAATAGATTAATTAATTTTTATAGTTTTTTTTTTTAATATTGAGAAACTTATTAGAAAAAAAAAAATAAGAAAATTTATTAGACAGTCAAAAGTAGATATAAACTTAAAAGCTAAATTATCTTCAACCTTACGGTTTGTCTCAAAAATATATTTTAAAAAAATATCTAAAAAATATGGCCGTTAATATTTTATTTAAAAAATACATTTAATCCCTATAGTTTTTAAAAAACATTATTGTGTTTAAAAAAATACGTCTCCCCTATTTTCATTAATTTTAAAAAAAAAAAACTTTAAAAATATATGAAACTTATTTTAAAACTTCAAAAACACCTTTAAATTATTAATAATAATAATAATAATAATAATAATAATAATAATAATAATAATAATAATAATAATAATAATAATAATAATAATAATAATAATAATAATAATAATAATAATAATAATAATAATAATAATAA